TCATGACAAAATATTCACAGTTAATTTTCATTTGTAAAACTTGCTCTTTTATGTATATGTAGGAAATTTTATTGTCTTTCAGGTTCTTTTTAGTTCATATTTCTATGTTGCATAGAACGGAAAATATGCAATTTTATCTGAAAGTTTGCAATGATAATTAATTAGGGTGATTTAAATTCCGGCTGTACAGGGCTGCTGGCAATTTAAAAGTCCGTATGTTAGAGGTTAAATACTGCACAAATGCATCATGCCATAGAGAGGAAATCAAATGTCACCATTTTGAAAGATTAATAGATTTCATGTTTCCGCAGGAGTAATGAATATTATAAAAGTTTTCAACAAACAGTACTCCAATGAAGAAATAATGCAAAGCAGGTATCCCTCATTTTACTAACCCGCAATTTATGAATTTTCACTACGAGAAAGCAAGTTAACTGGTATCACTTATTCACTTAATAACCTTCATTTTTGTTACAATGAATAACTTACATCCATGAGAAGTTTCTTTGCAAAGGCAGACAAATACTTATATAACATGGGTGAGGGGAGGAGAAGCAGAAGCAGACTTTTATACCTGAAGTAATAGAAATATCACTCTTGAGATACAAATTGCACCTTGCATGAACAGTTTTCATGGAACAAGTTAACTTCATAAACTGAAGGATATCTGTACTGAAGTTGTGAGTACAGCCACGTCTGTTTGGTGGCTAGCATCCGACAGAAGTCGATCAGTCCCACTGATGTGTTTACAGTATCCAAAGTAAGAAAAATTACTGTTATTTCTTCTCTTATGGGTTGAAATTTGACAATATCACTCATATGGAACAACTATGTGACACATTCAAACACTGTCATGGGTTCCAATAAAGATAGCCAAACCACGCACACTCACTGTTTACTCTTGCCATGATTTATACATTCTGAGGTACAAGACTGCCTATACTGAATGCTCCTTTTATATCAATGTGTCATGCCATCATGAATTCTCATTATAACAGATGTTTATGTAAATGATGGAAACATACTACAGTATCAAACCAAAAAAGCTTTCCTTCAATGAAACCAATATTTGAGAATAACAGTTAATGAAAATGGTTCTCATACTGCATACAAGTTTCTTTAGCAAAGAATAATAACCTAAATTACAGGATGAATGGGAGTTTCTTCAAAGAGATCATGGTTTCTTTCACACCTCTACCAAACTTTTTCAATAAGCATCGCTATATCTCGTATTTAATGCTATGTAACACCTGCAGCAAATGCAGCACGATTAAATTACCTATAAAATATTCACACTGTTACTTTTACAATATTTACTTACTTCGCCTGCTGCAGCTGCGCTTAATCCAAGGAATGATTCTAGAGCTGATGGGTCACTGTAAACAGACAAAATTTGTGCTCAAAATATTTACATAATAGCTACACTTAAAATATGTATTTGCATGCACCAGATCTGCACAAAAGGCTATTTCCATTATTAAATTTTCTCGAGTTATCAGCTGTGAAGTTTAAAGAGGACCAATGTTTTGGGGGCCATATCTATCCCCATCATCAGGTTCTGATGTGACAATGGATCCAAACCATCTCATCTGTATGCCAATCTGTAGCCCACCATCAAAACTGAGTGCAAGCTGATAGGTGGGGAGGGGGCTGCTGGATAGTCATGGGTTTGGCTTCATCTTGTCTCTGGACTGGTACATCTCTGTACTAGTTTTATCATATTAGTCAGGGGGTACCAGGAATGACTCAGACTGAAACCCTATCCCTGTTGAAGTTTCCAAGATTGAGCCTGATCTTGAAAGCCTCCCTTATCAAGTGGTCCATTTGCTGAATTCTTATGAAAATTTTAGGCCTAATTTGTCTTTTACAGATCAAAGAATATGGGTATTTTTCCTCAAAGGAATGTGAACTGTCTTAATGTTGCTTTTCCACCCATGTCTGAAACCTATGTTTTGGAGTAAGAGAACACATGACCTCATGGTTCTTGTATCCATTACACCTAAAATGTCTTCTTCAGGTGGCTGATTTCCACAGCCAGGCTACCACCATCACATATGGTCTTGAAGCACTGAATGAGAGTGTTTGGTACACCTCTGTGATGGATGGTGTTCAACACTCACTGGAAGGAAGAAGTCCATATGTGTGTTTCTTACATACAGCATGTCCCACTGAACTGTCCCATCTTCTGCTCATCAGAACACCTAAGAGATGTAGTGTTTTGTTTTGCTCCACTTCATTAGCATACTTGATACAAGGGTGGATGCCATTAAAATGTTGGAGGAAATCCTTTTTATGTATCCATACAATGAATGCATCATCCACATGTGTGTACCAGTATGCCAGCTTCTTGGTCACCAAGCTTATGACCTGCTGTTTATAGGATTCCACATAAAAGTTGGTTATCACATAGCCAACGGACAATTCCATAGCTAACCCATCTCTCTGGTCACAGAATGAACTACTATAAAGAAAACATTTCATGATGAGGATCTGCTGATGAAGGCCTGTCTGCTGAAGTGCTATGAAAGCAACAACAATATGTCCCCCCACTGGGACCTTGGTAAAGAGTGAGATATCAAAACTCACCAAATGTTGCTTTCTTGAAGGCAAATATGCTGCAGTCTTTTAGTAAAGGCCTCAGACTTCTTAATGTGGTGGTCTGACTGCCTCACTAAAGGGCAAAAACAAAACTGCCAGATATTTTGCCAGTCCATACATGGGTGAGCTGACGCAATTTATAACGGCATCTCTTTATAAGGAAGCCTTCTGTCTTTCTATTCTGGAAGTTGGATCTGTGGTATGCTTCCTGTAGACAGGATCACTCAGAATAGATGTTTACAGTAGTAACCCTTACTCAGAAGCATCATCACACTGCCTTTACTGCAGGCAGAACCACTGAGACCAGATGTAAGGAATACGTGCGATGCATACACTGAAGTCAGTGTTTGCAGAGTATGTGCTTGAAACAGGGCAGTGTCAACTTCAACAGCATCTCCAGAGGAGATAAAACACCAAGATACAGGGACTGATCGAAAAAGGAGGCTATCAAGATCAGGCTGCACATGAGAAATGTTAACAGGGATGCAAGTTTTAATCTCAGTCACTCCTCATAACTAACGACTAATATGTATGATAACGCGGTACATGGATATACCTATCCTGAGACAAGACCAAGCTAAACAAATTCATAATTGTGACCACTAGCTCCCCATTGGTTTGCACTCATATTTCATCACTGACCTCATGCTGGTGTACAGGTGTAATGTTAAAGCTCCAGATTCAGTAATAACTCTATTTTTTTTACTTTCCTTCCTTAGAACCATTTACTCTGATGTTGGTATGTTTGCAGCTCTGTTTGAAAGCATTAGTTGTGAATATGGCATCCTACACTACAGAACAGAGGGTTTTTATGGAATCATTAATGAGCAGAACAGTTAATTATGAGGAACAAAAAAATCCCCATGTGCTCTACTTTACCTAGCAAAGTGTACAACCTGGTGTGCTTCATCTACTGTTGGTATTTCTTTTCTCTCTTTCTGTTATTTAATGATGCTATCAGTATCAAGACTATAACACAAGTGACTGGATCATTAATGAATATGAAGGAGTTGGGGGAATGGAATGTGAACTGACATGGGAAACCAAGTATTATGACAAAACCTACCCCAGTTTTGTTCTGTCTGCCACAAACTCCACATGACCTGACCTGGAATCGAACCTGAGCCACAGTGGTGGACTACTGATATTGTGGGGCCAGTATTGCTAAGAATACAAATTCTCCAAATTATGGGATGCTTTTGGATGAAAATTTGATTTCCTCTTTGCAAGGGATGGGTTGTAATCTCAAAGAAAGATACTTTCAACAAGATGGCCATACACTACTATTACTGGTGTGGACATTTTAAACACTCATTTCTGTAACTCAGTTATTTCAGACTGTTACTATTATTAATCAGTTTGGAGTACAGTGGTCTTAGCCACACTACTCTACTAACATTAGTCCTTGTAATGTTATATTTTAGCGTCCTGTTGCACTGATTTATGTCCATGATTTATTCTGACCGTCTTACAGTGCATACATTTATTCACCTTACTCTTCTCTCTTGCACTACATGTTTCAGCACTAAAGTGCCATCTTCAGGTGCTTTTCGATGTACGTCGAACTACTTCATTGCATGCCCTGTTGTCTTTATACTAAAATAACTAAAATATATATGCGTCATATATATTGATAAATTTTAAATATTAAAAATATTAAAACTGTTCAGGATTTGTCATCCTTATGTCGTATCTCAATACGTGAGTCACACCTATCTTCTTCTATCGGAGTATTCTTCCTACTTTCATGTGTGTATTGTGCTTTGTGTTGTGTCTTGCTCCTGTGACTGCGTGTTATACTGCTGGGCCTGCTGGGTATGTGTGTGTGTCAAGAACCAAGAAATTCAACCATTCGACCAACCATTTCATGCAAAAGAAACTATTTTGAATTTCAATTTTTGGAATAAGCTGCTCTATCACTGTCTCCACTGGTACTGCCCATGCAATCCTCACTGTTCACCTGTAAGTGACATAACTCTGAAATCCCCCAAGTTAACACTTGATACCTAAACAAAAGCAGCAAATCGGTGTGAGAAAGTATGTTGAGGAATTCTGAACAAAATGGTCAGCTTTTATTAAAGGAATTGTGATTGATGATGAAACATGATTTTAGCACTAAAACTCTGAGAGCAAACAAAAGTCTTTATCAAGGGACAGACACTAGTTCACCATGGCTGAAAAAGCTGTTAAGTGAGGACCTCTGCAAAGCAAATGACACTTTCTTCTTCTTAATTATGAAGGTATTCTTCTTATACTACATCTTTTGAGACATTACAGTGGATAAAGAAGCCAAGCTTATGCTGATGTTTTCACATTCTAAACTCACAGCACTATTCACACAACACTTGCATTATACAGCCAGACATGGTTGCACACATCTCAAATTATGCAAACAATGATAGCAAAAGTTTGTGTTAAATTATACGCCTTACTCTCCTGATATGGGACCATGTGGTATCCATTTGTTCCCAAGGCTGAAGTTGGAAATAAAGTTTCACTTTGCAGAATGTTCTCATCTTTCATCCTTTAGCAGTAAAACAGTCTGGCATCAAAACTGCTAAATTATATTACATGGCACAAACAAAACGATTTACTTATATTTGATAAAACCTGGTCTCACTTTTAGATTTAGACAGCAGTCCTGTAACCATTATATATGAAGCATACAGTTAGCAATAGCTTACTCAATCACATCCAGTAGTTTTTGAGAGCCATCATCCATCTCCAGACTCCCAATCAGCTTTGTTACTCCCGCTGAATGACTTCAATTACTGTGACTCCAGTAGTGTTGTGTTTCCATTGCATGACAACCAGATCAAACTGCTGAGGATTGTGTCTGCACACATAAGAAGCTGAACTTAAAATCTACACGAAATCTATCTAACTTCAGGAAGAATGACTACACACATGCACGCACACACAGGATGATCATAACTAAATGCTGTAACTTAATTACCTTATACATGAGGCCATTCTCAGTCAAAAATGTCATATAAACATAGGCCTGATGCAGCAGTAACTGATTTCTCAACAAGAATGCTTAAAAACACAAGCAAGCATGTATTTACATAAAGTTTTCATTGCTGAGTTCATAATGACTGCTGAAAAATGATCAACCTCAGCCTCACAACAGACTAGAGTTAATCTGTAATTGAAGTATACAAATTACATCACTTGATTAGGGTTGCCCTTTATACCGGCTGCAGTATCCAGAATGCAGTGAAATAACTCATCTCATGTTTCTACTTTCTGCTGGTACACTAGAGCTCTCATATGTTCCCACAGATAAAACTCTAGGCATTGAGGTCTGGAGACCCAGGTGACCAGTCCTGTAGACCACCAGATATGAACCCTCAACCAAGTAATCAATGACTGTGACACACTTTCACTACACAATTAAAATTTGTAGGCACTCCATCATGATGAAAATGGAGATGCACCTGTGTTTCCAAAAGTGCATCTTCTCATAGGTTCAGCAGTTTGTTCTGCAGAAAATGTAGATAAATGTCACCTTCAAGATGATCTTCACAGATAAATGGACCAATCATCTGATCCTGAAGCATATGACACCAAGCATTTACAAGAATCAGTGTTAAAGGCAGCTTTCCAAAGTACCATGGAGATTAACTTCTGACAACAAATGTGAACTGCGAGTGTTGCTGATCCCATCGTGGGTGAAATGAGCATCACAGAACAAAAACTTCTGAGAGAGTTACTGACAGCCACTGGGCATGATCCCCATACTCAAGCTGAACGCACACTACATACTTTCCCATACTCTTGTTTGAGGAATATCCATTTCCCGACATACGTCAACAGATAATCGACATTCAAGTATGTTCTTCCACAGACAAATATTGATATATGATCACAAAGTTTCTTTCGCGTTTCTCCGATGATGTTGGTCATATGTCACTACTTGCCCCTGTATATTATACTACTGCAATCACGCATGTTTAGTCTGCATTCTTCTGCCATCTGGAAGTCATAATTTGAACTACTTGAGGAACGAATGACATTCATATACTACTGCATTTCAGTGTTAGCAACATGGCTTCATGTTCTTGTACAAGTGTGCCTTCTGGCGTGAAAAAACTGAAATATAATGCCATGTGTTGAGAATGAAGAGTCAGTTATTGCTCTGTTAAATGAAGAACTCGATACCGACTCTGATGATCAGATGGATTTGGAAAATGTCGAGTGAAGAATCCAGTGATGGAATGTTGGAAAGTGAGAGCGTGAGTGAAACAAGTGTTATACATGTTGAAAGGTGGGAAGACATGGCAATGGTGGACAAGAAACCCAAGGCATAGTCATTTACTAAAAATGCAGGGCCACAATTTAACCTTCTACCAGATGTTGAGCCCATGGATTATTTTAGTTTATTTTTCAATGAAAGCTTTTAAATAACATTGTTATAGAGACAAGTATGCAAGACACAAAATTTCTGAACTTCTATTGTAAGATCTGCAAAAATCAACGGGCCATGTGTCCTGAGGAATGTTTCAAAGATCTCACCCTCTCAAGAACTTCAACAAGTTTTAGTGTAGGTCCTATAGTTTATCAGGTTTTTGTTATTTGTGTACATAGAAGTGTGACAGTTATAAGACGAAAGGAATATGAATATATTTTATACTACAGAACAGCAGACAATTTTAGCCAGTAAAACACTAAAACCTCTCTCCACGCTTGATGGTCATACATCACTACAAGGCAGAGAATTTGTCTTCTGGCATTGTGCTGGTTAAGTATACGTTTTGCTTTCTCCCTTTATGCCCTTGCTGTACCAATTTTTTAGCAAAACAGTTTGCTTAGTGGCTCTGCGGGCATTTAAAATCCCCTCATGACCTGGCTGCAGAATTTTTTCCAACCATGGTGAATGGAAAGGGGAGGATTCCAGGAAATCCTTCATGTACTAACACCAGGATTCTGTTGTACCCTGTGAATGTTATCTTCTTCAGTCATACCTTGTTATAACAGACACTGTGCTGAAGTATAAATGCTAGGATATAAACTGCTGTCTCACAACCTGAAACACGTTAAATACTCTCCAATCTGAAACTGATTTGGAAATCATCACTGGTATTCAGTAGCAGAAGCCTAAGTATTCCTATTGCAAAACCCATAAATATAACATCAGCACAGCTGAGATTTGAAAATGTAAAAGGCATAATTATGAACAAAGAAGAAGTTCCTTCCTTTGATATGACATGGCCTGGACAGAAAATGATGCCTCCAACAAGTCTTCATTGCTGCTGGAATGTCTTTACTGAGTCGTTACTTAGCAATGACAGGGGGGATATATAGAAAGACCCACATATTCTCCTTTGATAAGACACAGACCACATAGAAAATGATGCATCCAACAATTCTTAAATTGTAGCATATTTGTTGCCATAGAAACGTGCTTACCAAGGCACTGTCTTGCACCAAAAGGAGGGATACACATATAGACACACAGACTGATGGGAAGGATTTATGAAGTATGCCATTCAGATAGGCTCAGCTGCCATGATATACATACAAAGTTCCATAAAGATTGGTTCAGGCATTCAAAAGTTGATAAGAGGGATTCATAGACAAACAGGATGGCAATAGAATAAGCCTACTTTAGGAAAGCAGGCTAAAAATGAACATCAAATTATGTGTCACAACAACGCACAGATAGTATCTACAAATTTCATTCAATATGCAGGATTTGAGGTTCTCACTATCCTCTGGCTTATAACGCTGTGTAGTCTGTTGAAAGTTAACTGATATTTCAGAGAAACATGTCTTGTTGCCTCCATCTTCAGGGTCGAAGAATATGTCAAGCAAGAAACCAGCTTGAAAGCAGGTGGCAAGCAGAGGCAACACATACCTCCAAAACACTGGTTGACTTTCAATGAACTACACACCATTACATCCCAAAGCATATAACTCTTCAGTCTGGTTCAAACATGCATATGTGCATGCTGTGGCTTATACCCAAACCATTCTTTAATTTCAAGCATCTACTCTGCTCCGAAACTGTTAAGGGCTGGACTTACTTGTATGTTTATATGGCATTTCTCATTATGACCAAATGAAGAAGCTCCAGACATCAGGACATAATGTAGTTAATTCCATTGTGTGTGTGTGTGTGTGTGTGTGTGTGTGTGTGCACATAAAAATATAGTACTGAAATTCTGGGCATTTTACAAGGATATAAAACTTTACCTATTATAAAAACCACAGCTAGAAGTTAAAATGAGCTTGCGTGAATGAAATGCTTTCAATTTCCTTACTGGTTAACAACTCATTTCTAGATGTGACTGCACAATCATGCTTAATGGCTACCAGTAAAGTGAACAGTAACAGAAAGTGAGAATCAAATCCTTTAGGAGCATGTAAAACTGTCATAATCATGGTGTTACAACATGTTTCTCCATCAGAAAATGTTTTGAAGTCATAAGCAATGCTTTTCATTTGTGTCATTCCATGTTAAATCAGAAAATTTTCATGACCATCTATGAGTACTACAATCTTGTAAGTTTGTTTGGTATCTGTAGGAAATGACACACATTAAATTTTACCTTCCTGTGACCATAAATAAAGTTTATGTTTCCCTCAAATTACCCCACCTTCTGATTTACTGCAATATTTATACCTCTGGTCCCACCCAACACAGCTCACTCTTGTACTAAATGAGAGTTAAATGAGGCTTTCCCTTGGTATGCCATTCAAAATATTTCAGGGAGCATTCATATTGCGACTTTGATCCCTGAACCTAATTTATAACCAAATGTATAGCCAGATTTATGCAAGTTGTTTCCTAAACATTTTGTTATCACTGCAATATGCCTTTGGAAAGTAAGATGTTGGGACATGAGAGTGGTGTGATGATATGATTTTGTCTGCCAGTTGTCTAATTAGGCATGATGAGTCATGGTGTGGCCTGTAGAGACATGTCCCATGGCATGATGACACATTCAGCCTTTCCGTTCATACCTGTCATTGAGTTGAGTGGAGCTGCATTTCCTGACTGGCAAATTCTGTACTGGTTTGGTCAAGTGCAAAAATAATTATTTTTTCCTAGTTTAAAATGGCTCCAAGTGCTACAAGCATTAAAGAACTTAAAGTTTTAATCTGCTGTTGAATGTCAGTGACAATGCAAGTTCAAAGAAAAACCTGAGACCAGTGTTGAACAGATGTTAAGATGTGGGAACCCTATTGAAAAATTGCCTGATTGCTTTGGAAAAGAAGAAGCTGTCTCCTTGAGTTCAGAATATATCATGAACAAAAAGGAAGATCTCAACAGTTTTAAAATTCAGCAGACCTATAGAGTTTCTTCCCTGAAGTGGGAGTAATTTCACCGATTTTCACTGCAAACTTGAGAGAAGTCAAGTATCCAAAGGACAAATTCAAGAAAATCAGAAGCATTAAAGAAAAATATTTAGTCTCAGACTGCAGTAACGTGACAGTTAAGCAAAGGGGAAATGATAGCACGGTTGAAGGAAAAACTTGACAAGAAAAGAGAGTGAAAAGGTTCAACTCTCAACACATCTTCCAAAGACCTGGTTAACCAGGAAAATATGCTCTACAAGTAATGGTCCTCCTCATTAAATTTAATCTTTTTCAATTTAACCTATAAAACTGTCCAAATTTTTACAGCATAATATATAAACTTACAAATTTTATATTCTTTATGGAAAACACTGGCTCTCTCATTGACAGTGAAGCAAATGCCTGGTAACTGTTTATCTTCTTTTTTTTCCCCCTTGGCACTACAGCCCCAGTGGGCCTAGGCCTACCTCCATGAACTTCTCTGTTCACTTCGGTTTTTCTAGATCTTACACGTTCGGTAGGACTCCTTGG